CGAGCGTCGCCGTCGCCGTCGTCGTCGCCAACGCCGCCGTCGCTGCCCCCCCCCCCCCCCCCCCCCCACCCCACCCCCCCCCCCCCCCCCCCCCCCCCCCCCCCCCCCCCCCCCCCCCCCCCCCCCGCCCCCCCCCCGCCCCCCCCCCCCCCCCCCCCCCCCCCCCCCCCCACCCCCCCCCCCCCCCACCCTTCACCCATCACCTCTCCTCCCTCCCGCCCGCGCCCTTCTTCTCTTCCCTCTCCCCCCCCCCCCCCATCGCTCCACCCTCCCCCACTTCATTCCCCCCCCCCCCCCCTCCCTCCCCCCCCCCCCCCCCGCCTGCCGATCGACCCTCTCGGATCGAGAGGCGAGGTCTTCGGGCCAAGGATCCGAGATCATGTGATCTCGGACCCACGACGGCCCGAGACCCCTGCAACCTCGATCCGAAAATCCATCGAGGATCGAGCCTCGACGGAGGGGCCGAAGAGGATGAAGATTTTGAGGGAGGGGGGGGGGGGGGGGGGCTCGATCCTCGATCGATCCTCGGATCGAGAGTCCGATGTCACCGGGCCAGGCATCCGAGACCTTATGATCTCGGATCCACGACGGCCCGAGGCTCTCTGACCCTCGATCCGAGGATCGATCGAGGTTCGAGCCTCGACGAAGGGATCGAAGAGGAGGAAGACCTTGAGGAGAAGGCTCGATCCTCGATCGACCCTCGGATCGAGAGTCCGATGTCCTCGGGCCAGGGCTTCGAGATTTTATGATATCGGATCCACGACGGCCCGAGGCTCTCGGAGCCTCGATCCGAAGATCGATCGAGGATCGATCGACGTTTTTACGCTCGAGAGGGGGCCTGGACAGGCCCCTCGGGGAACGCCTCTCGAAAAACTCGAGGGGGCTGGGCCTTGCTCGCCGCTCGCTCCTCGATCAGGCCTCGCGTAAGCCTCAGGCCTCCGCCTCGGACTTCTTGGCCCCCCCATCGGCCCTCAGCTCGGCATGCTTCTCGTGAACCCCGGCGCACTTCGGGAAGTTCTTCTTGACGTAGATCTCGAGGGGCATATTATCGTGCTCGTCTGCCTTCTGCCCCTCGGCGTCCTCGCGGAGCTTGGCGCGCTTGGCGTGGCACTCGTGCTCGTCGAGCTGGTACTGCTTCTGCGCAGTCTCGGCGACTTGCCAGCGCCACTTGACGACGGCCTCGGTCATGGCCACGCGCTCGTTCTTGACCCCGTCAGGGTGGAAGTCCTTGACCTTCTCGAAGAAGGCCTTGGCCTCGACTGGCAACTCCTTGACCGTCTCGAAATCCTCTGCGCATCCGGTGTTAGCGCTCGTCACGACAGGCTTGAATTGCTTGTCCACGGGCAAAATTCACTCGTAGAGCGCTTGGGGCCCTGGGGGGATCTCGCCGAGGACCACCTTGACAGCCTGGGCCGACACTCCCTCGCGCATCTGGCCCGCCTTCTCGCCCGGCATGGTCTCCTTGGTGTTCGCTTCGTCTAGGAGCTCGGCCCTGAAGCTTGGCAGCAAGTGCTAGTGCTCCTCGCAACTCATGTCAGCGTCGTCGAACGCGTCGCAGAGCGTCTCGGAGCCCTCGACGAAGGTCTCGGGGAATATCGCCGCCAAAGGCTCGGATCTCCTCTTGTCCTTCTCGGCGAAGACCCCAGCGCAATGGATGCTCGCCGCGCTGCCCTTCTTGGCAACGGGATCGAGGATAATCTTCTTGACGCGCTTGTTCCACAGCGCTGACTGGCCTCGGACGTAAATGCCTGTCATCCTCGAGGCGTCGATGGCCTCGCCGCTCGACTGGCACTGACGCGCCTCGGCGCAGCCAGCCTTCTCGGCGATGTACTCCAAGTGCTTGTTGTTCTCCTCGGGCAGCTTGATCTGCTGCTTGAGCAGCGCCACGACTTGGCTGCCCTGGGCCTCGGAAGGCTCGGCGCTGCTCTTGGAAACAGACATGGCGAGGCTCGAAAGTCTGCGGCTGAGGCTCGAAAGGCTCGAAGGGAAAGCAGGGGCTCGGTGGCTCGAAAGGCTCGAACCATAGCGGTCGCGGGCGGGGGCAGGAGAATTGCTCGTTTCGCTGGAGACATCCTCGAGAAATTGCTCGCCTCGCTTGAGATATCCTCGCGCAAATCTCTCGTTTCGCTTGAGACATCCTCGAGCAGTCTCTCGTTTTGCTTGAGACATCCTCGAGCCCTTGCTTGTCTCGCTTGATGCATCCTCGAGAAGTCCCTCGTTGCGCTTGAGACGTCCTCGAGCAATTGCTTGTTTCGCTTGAGACATCCTGCAGACATGTTTCGCTTCACCTGAGGCACCCTTCAAACATTGTTGGTTCCGCTTGAGGCATCCTCGACAAATCTCTCGTTTCGCTCGAGACATCCTCGAGCACTTGCTTGTTTCGCTTGAGACATCCTCGAACAAATCTCTCGTTTCGCTTGGGACATCCCCGGGCAAATCTTCGTTTCGCTCGAGACGCTTGAGACAATCTCGTCAGAGGCTCTCTGGTCTGAACTGAAAGCACTTGCCCCCCTCTCCTTGGAGGTTTTCGGGTCTGTCCTATGCCCAGGCTCAAGACTCGGATGACTGGCGGCGGTGCTCGCCTTGAAGTTGGAGGCGCGTGCGTGGGCAACATGCTGGCCCAGGGGTTCTTTTCCCTGGTCCGTGGGACAGCGCGGCTCGGAGCGAACCAGAACAACTTTTGGCCCGGGCGATTTCCGGGAGGGGCCGACGTGGTTACCCGACAGGGCACGCTCGCCCAGATAAGCTTCATTGACGCAGACTTGCGGCGGGCTTGCTCGAGCACTAGCCTTGAGGCAACCTCTGGGGTGGGGGGGGGCATGCTCTGAGGAGAAGAGAAGTGATAATGAGCAAGCCTGCCTGGAGAATAACTGCGAATGTCGCTGGAACCCCAGCGAACAGAGCGGGTGGCTCGACTCATCGCTTCCCGGGCTCCTTGATGGGCGGGCTGCTGGTGTCTGGATCCCTGTTCGAGCGGGCGCGATCGATCTCCTCTACTCTCGACCGCGCTTGCGACTCGGCGAGCGGTGACGCATCTCCTGTTGGACAGCTCGATGCAGCCAAGGGAGCTGCAGTACTCGATCCGCTTATGACTCCTGAACTCATCATCTGCCCACTTGTGACCGACATCTTGGGAACATGCATGTATGGGTCCTCCTGTGGATCCGCCGTAGGCTGGGTGGGTGAGATCGCGTCCACGCGCTGAACCTGAGTAGGGTCTTCCTCGATGATGATCGGTTTCGTAATCGGAGTCGGAATGCCACCTATCGGCGCGATGGGCACTGGCACCGCAACTGGAGTCGGAGCCACAGGTGTCGGAGATGGCTGCGCATTGGGTGCGGTCGTCGGAGAAGTGATCCTGCTTTTGGCTGGGGGCGTAATATATGGCATTCCGGTCGATGGCGCGGCTGGCGAGGCTCTTTTGACCTCTGTCGGAGCCACCGCATGAAAAACTGAGCCACTTTGTCCGTTGGACCCCATAGGAGCTGCGCGTGCAACGGTTGGTGATGCACCTGCTCCAGGGGGCCCCAAAGCAAGGTTGATGAAATGAGCCTGCATGGCAGCGATCAAATTCCCCATCTGCCTCAAATTATTGTCAGACTGCTGCTGTTTCGCTACGGTACCTGACAGAATGTTGAAAATTTGCTGATCACTGGCTGTGGCTATCGGCGGCGGCACCGTCGGTGGTGGTGGTGGGATGCCCTGCACACTGGAAGGCGGCGGCGGCGGTGCAGACGATGCGGCCTCTACCCCCTCCATGGGGTGAGCGCCAGCTGGATGTCCGCGATCGCTGGCCTCGGTGTGTGGATGCGATGCGCCGCAGGCCCAGCTCCGCCAACGCATCCGCGCCCGCCTCCAGTAGGTAGCACCTGCTGCTGCTTGGTCATCCTCGATCCACTTCTCAAGGTCGGAGATGGCATTTTTGATCTGCGCTTACTCCACGTCTAGTGTCTGAACTTCATTATGTATGATCTCCATTTTGTCGAGCAAGACTGACTTCTTGTCCTGAGCTTTGCTCTCTTTGATGCAAAGGTCGTTGATCTGTTTGGTGAACGGTTCGGTGGCTGACTAATCTCGTCATCAGTTTATTTAGAAACTTTTCCGAGTGACTTAGTCGACAGGGCATACTTCCCAAGGTCCATGAGTATTGTCTTGATTCGAGCTTTGTATTCCTTAGTTTCTTTGACATCAGCTGGGCATTCTTCAGAATGCTCTGAAAATTCAGCGTCAGACCTTGGGGCTGGAAGAATATTGGCAACGTCCTGCTGAACTTCGGTCTTCTATGAATCCTGCTGTGACTGCTTGGGACGTGTGCGGCTTGGCTGTCTGGGATTCGGCCTAATGCGGCCTTGCTGATCCTGGAAGAAGTGCGCTCCACGAGGCTGATCAAAAACGCTGCTGAGCGCCAAACGTATGTCCGCACATGCAACTGCAGTGATGAGACTTCACATACCTCCCGTACTTGCCACAATCCCACTGAATTCCTGGCCCTGCTGACCTCGCCATCGGTCCAGAGCTGTGATGGGCAGCCAGCACATCTTTACTCCTTAACGCTCTGAGGAGCAAACGAGCTCGTGCTCGACGCGCAGGTCGAGCTCTGTGGCAGGACTCCTCCTTGGCCGTAGTGACAAAATGTCGCGGCACACGAAAATGCGTGCGTGTGCACGCGTGAGGTGTGTCCGAGTGGTTTCGTTATGCAGAGACGCTCTGGCTCTCTCCCATGGTGCCAGAAAGTCTCGGACAGAAACACCTTTTCCTCCTGCTCCTCCTCCTCCTCCTCCTCCTCCTCCTCCTCCTCCTCCTCCTCCTCCTCCTCCTCCTCCCCTCCTCCTCCCCCTCCCCCTCCCCTCCCCTCCCCTCCCCCTCCCCCTCCCCTCCCCCCCCCTCCCCCACTTCTGTTTCCTCTAAGGTTCCTTTTGCTCCCCCTCGTAGCGGGCATGGCCCGGCATGGCCCCCTCGTGCGCCGTGGCTGCCTCGGCCCCCCCCCCCCTCTCGCGGGCCAGCCTCGGGCTGTGTCAGCTCGGCGGAGTGGACCTCCGACTCCTCGCGCCTCCGGCGGCGGGTGCCAGAGCCGCGCGCGGCGCACGGCTTCCCCCTCCCTTGTTTTCTGAATTCAAAAAAACTATGTTTTTCGATTGGAAAACATGCTGTTCATCAAAAAACGTGTTTTTCGCATTCAAATAAACCCGTTCTTTCAATTCACAAAAACCAATCTGTCAATTCCCTAGCGCCCCCAGAAAAGCAAAACGCGGTTTGGGCCCCCACCGGGCCCCAGGCTTGTCGAGAGCCAGCTCGGGAGGCAGGCCGGGCCCGAAAAGGGTTCGGGGGCCTCGCCCCGTGCCGAAAACAAAGACATTGATCTCAGGGTTCCCTTCCTCTTCTTCCTCTCTCTCTCTCTCTCTCAACCACCCGCTACTCCTAGGCCCCCTCCCTCCCCACCATCCCTCCAAATCCCTCTCCTCTCTCCTCCTTCCGTTCGCCCGGGGCGTCGAGCCACTGTCAAGGCCCTTCATCATTGAGATCATGGCCACCTGTCACGCGTGTCCGATGGGAGCCGCCCCCGCGTGGCCGGGCCGCCCAGGCGGAGGCGCCCGTGCGCGCCGCCGCCGCCGCCAGCAGGCCTTGATGACTCTGGCCACAGGTGGCCGCGCACTGCGACCCCGGGGTCGCCAGAGGACCAACAACTGCATGAACACAGTCGGCGGCGAAGGAGAGATGGGGGGAAATGAGGAGGAGAAGGTCTTCTCAAAAGGCGGCGGGGCTTCTCAGAAGCCCTCCGGCCTTCTGAAAAGTCTCTGTGATTTCGGCGAAGGCTTAGAAAACTTCCCAAACGGCCGGAGGACTTCCGAGTCTTCTGAGAAGGCCGTCGCCTTCTCACTTACCCCAAGACTCGTCGCCGGCACAAGCTTGTGGAGTTCCGCGAGGATTTTTCGGATCTGCGCTGTGTCCCCCTGGCGGCGCCTCGGGCGCCGCACCTGACGCGCTCCGCGCGCAAGGGAAGGGGGTCCAGCGCATATCCAAGAAATCCAAGTGGATCTCCAACACTTTATGTTTATGTCGTTCTCTTCTTCGGGTCGTGGCACTGTACCCGTCCAGGCTTAAGGGCCGTGGCGCGGTGAGTAATTCGCTCAGACATGCTACGAGTCCACTGGCAGGCCGCCCAGGAACGCACCACTGGTCGCGGGTCCGAAGCTTACTGGAATCCCCGACGCCGTTGACGCTTCCCCACGGGTCCAAAGGACGAGTGTCCAAGACAACCCCAAGGAACGACGCATGAAACAGTCCGCCCAATCGCCCCAAAGCACCTTTGACGCAGTGGACGGAATGGTCACCACGCATGTCGGGCACCACCGATGCGCACAGAAGAGGGAGGGGGGATAGCTTTTTGGAAAGAGGCTTTTTCCTAGAAGGCGCCCGCCTTACACCTATAGACAAGACCCGCGACTTCTAAAAATCATGACGTTTCTTAAAGGCCTTCCCCCCTCCCCCTAAGGCCCCACCCCCCTCGGCGCGAGGCTGAAAACAACAACAAGAAGAAACGCCTTCGGAAGTCCACGCGGATTTCTTGGACTGGCGCTGGACGCTTGGCACCCCTCCCTGCGCCAGGGGCGGCGCCGCCAGGGTGGCCCAGCGCGGGCCCGAGAATTTCGCGCGGACCTCCATAAGCATATGCTAATGCAGCTGTTGTTTCTCTTTTCGAAGCATGCCCCCCCCCAGAACCCCCGACCAATTCCGTGGGCCCGCCTTCTCATCATTGATGATGCAGGCTCTTTCTTGGCCGTGTTGCTAGGCGAAGTGCGACCGTGATCGTCTCGTAAGTGTTATCCTTCATCTTCTTCCTGTAGTAGTCCCTTGCCCAGGTACATCCTCAATGTAAGTGATGCATCCCTTAACGCCATGGCTAAATCAATATGACGGTGTCCGTTAAGCTTTGGTTAGCAGCAAGATATGAGGGGGCCGGCCGGCCAGGCGAGGGCGCCCGGGAGGGCGCGCGCGCTGGGCGGGCGGGCCGCGATCCTCTTTCTCGAGCCAACACGCAACAGCTGCGACGAAACTGCGGGTCAGAAGTGGGCACGGGGGGGCGACTGAATCAACTCCCCCCGCGGCTGGCCCGGCGAGCTCCACTCGCGCGGGCGGACGAACCTGATTTGGGCATCGCCCCAGATCTTTGATATAAGCGTCTTAGCACGCAGCGCCTGGCAGACAGCGCATTCAAGCAGTCGGAGTGCCCCCTGGACGGCCCCGAGATGCATTGAGAGGCGGCCTCCAGGGCCCCAAACTCCCCCGGTTGGCTGGCTTGGGGGAGAGGGGCCCAGATAGGCCCACTAACGATGCACAACAGCTCCCCAGATTCAGAGCGGGCTGTGCCCCCTAGCTTGCTCGAGACAACTCTTTGATTATGTTGCGCTCACATCTTCCGCCCGTGAAGATGTCCCCCGAGACGCAGGGTGCCCTCCCTCTCTGGGTCGTCGGCCCAAGACACACGCACTTCGCCTTCCCTGCGGGGGCGAGGCCGGACGCCGCCTGGGCGCGGGGGAAAAAAAAAACCTCAGTATAAAGAAGGAACTGCTGCCGATCGTCCTGGTCGATCGCTCCGGCTGCTTCTTGAACCTCGCGGTCCACGATTTCGCCCCTTGCGCGATCGAACCTCCGAACAACACCACAAACGATGACATCTCGAATCCAAAGCAGCTTTGCAGAGCGGGCACAAGTCTTACTCATCTTTATATCCCGCATGGATCGCGCGACCCACGGTCCAGGCAACACCGCAACTAAACCCACGAATGCATCCTTTCTCGAAGGACTTGAATCTGCGGGATGCAAGGGCTGCCTGGGCCACGTCATAGCATGGCCTGGCGTCGACGCCGAGGGGCATGCCTGACTCGCGCTGCAACTGCCTGAGAACCTATCTCTCAGGGAAGCCTTTGTCCGCGCTGGCGACGTGGAGGTCGCGCCCCGGGCGCCCCCGAAATCGCTGACAAGCTCGGTGGGGGACTTCATGCCCCATCCAATGCGAGGCGAAATAAAGACAGCTTCGTAGCCCCCATGGGGCCTCGAACCTTTCTCCAGGTCAGCTCCCCGTCGTGGTCGCCTCCCGGACCCCCCACATGTATGCCCCCAAGCTTGCCTCAGAAATCGGATAGCGGAAACTGGAGAATCTTGCGCGGATTCGCCCAAATCTCTTCGAAAAAAGCCGAATAGCATGAGAAAGCGCAGGAAACCAACGAGGATCATTCTCCAGGATGGGCAAGGAAGTGCAGCTTCTCTGCCCCGAGGATGGTTTCAGAACGCGCCCGAGAGAGCGACGCAAACCACCCAGCTCGTTATCGGAAGCTCCGTGAACTTCTGACGCATACGCGGCCCCTGCCATAGCGCCCGTGGCAAGACCTCGCTTAGCAAGCCTCTGCCCACAAGCAGTTCGGCATCTACCAGGCCTGTATGCGCGCTTCTCAAATGCAGCCAGCCTGCGAGCGTGCTTCGCCCCCCTGCCCCCCTGTCTCCTCGGTCTCCCCGCCGCGTCATCCGCCCCGGGACTGACCGCCGAACTGACATATAGGACCTTGCCCCCCCCCCCCCAGGACTTCTAGGAGTCCAAAGACCTTGGCCCCAACGGCTTGACACGGGCAAACGACTGAGACGTTGTCCTCTGAGACGAGGCACATCATGTCATCCGTCGGGACTGAGTGCGATTGCGAGGCTGATGTCACGATGTCTTCGATGACATGTGCTCCAGTACCTGTTGACTGAGTGGCGTAATCGTCCACGCATTTGCCCAGCGATCTGCGCGCCAGCGCTCAACGAATCCATCGAAGGGGATTGCGCGAGCACGCGCGAGCGAAGTGGCGAACGAATCCCCTGCAACGACGCCGTGTACTGCGAAATGCGGCCCTTTCATCCTGCGCGCAATCGCCATGCATCTCGGTCCTCGATACGCTGCCAGACATACTCTGGAAATCTGGCGTGGAAATCCCTCACAACGCTCCTGGAGGAGAGGTAATCGAATCAGCCCGTTGGACTTATAGAGGTACCACAGCACGGAGCAAGCAATTTGAGACTTCGAACGTTTGGTGGGGAGCACAGCCTTGACAGCTTGTCCCCAAACAACGTCGACAGCACCTGCAAAAGCACCTGCCGCCAGGTATGGACGTTGGAACCTGCCTTCCCATTCTACAGAGCACCCCCTTCTCAACCTGCCCCACAACCTGAGGGGAGAGGGGAATAAACTGATAGGTCTCCAACCCCCAGTCGGCTCAGGCATGAGGGGAACCATTGCGCAGCTGATCTGATTAGGGAAGATGGCAGCGGCTTCGGCGATACTGAAGATCACGGCAAGGCAGGAGAGAAATCCGTCTGGCAGAGCAACATAGTGACGCATATGAGATCCATCCACGCTCGTAGCCGGTCGCAGCGGATAGCACTTCGAGGCGCTGCGTACCGTATCAGGTGACGCAACAAGCAAGGGCTTGTGAACATCGATGGGGACAGTCGTGGGTGGGGGCTGTCTAGTAGCGCTCCACAGTCTGCTGAAACGCGCGGCCTCACTGTCCAGCAACGCTTGAGGACCCGAAAGAACCACACCATTACAGGATAACGTGGAAGAGGGAGTCCGCGGAACAACCCCACGAGTCCACCAATGTATTCTGCGGGCCCCAGCATCGGAACCGTCCAAAAGCCGAGTCCTGCATTCTTCGCTGCTTTCATTCCTCTGAGCACTCGAAAGCTTCCACCGGAAATCCGAGACATCTTCCAGGACCTCGACGCACCTAGCCAGCAAGTTGATGAAAGACTGCGCCTCCAGAGGCCCTAGGCCCAAGGTGTCGAGAACGTCTTGAATAACGTTTTGCACTCTAGTAAACTTAGCTCCGAGGTCACCAATGTGGTCTGATGTCAACGTAGGCGGCCTCGAAAGGAAATTACCTGCCTCGAGCAACTGGCCAGGCGTCGGGACAAGCCTTCCATCCAGCCCCCCCCCGCCCCCCCCCCAGGACTGAGAGTGCAAAGTGCAGGTCCACTGATGCGGCCAGACTGCGCAGCAGCGCCTTCAGGAGC